CAGCTCTTTTCCTGGTCGAAGGTGCCTTTGAACTTCTGATTCTATTGTTTCCTCCTACCTGTGTGTTGGGATTATAGGCAGGCACCACTAAACCCAGTTTATGGGGTGCTGGGGAATGAACCCAGAGCCTATGCATGCCAGGCAAGCACTCTACCAACTCAGCTATAGCCCTCACTCCAGTGAATGTTTTTTGAGTTCCTTGTATATTCTGGATGTTTTTCCTTTTCAAATAAGTTGGAAATATTTTTTTTTTCCAATCTACAGATTGTTTCTTCACTCTGTTGATTGTGTCCTTTACTATTCAAATGCTTTTTAGCATAATGTAATAACATCTTTTTTGTTTCCCATGATTTTGGGGGTCTTGTCCAGAAAGTCGTTGTTGGTCTGTTTGTCTCTTTCTCTCCTCTCTCCTCTCCTTGTCTTCTTGCTCTCTCAAGACAGGATATGCCTATAACTCAAACTGGAACTTGCCATATAGCATAAACTGGAACTTGCCATGTAGCACAGGCTGGCCTCAGACTTGTAACAATCCTCTTAAGTGTCTTACTTCCAAGTGCTGGGATTCCTAAGCCTGATATCAATGTCAGGTATGGGCTCCATTCTATGAAGTGAGCCTTAAATCCAATTAGAGAGTGAGTGGTTACAATCCCATAATATTTGGGCCAATATTGCCCCTGTGGGCATATCGTGCCAGGCCAGTTGTTGTTGTTCACAGGATTCATGGTTGAATAAAGTTAATGATTATTTTTTTCCTTCCAGTAGTATGCATAGCACCTTCCAGCCCTTTGGACACTAGTCAGTAGTCATATGAGGCGCTGAAGTCAGCACCAGCCTGATTTCTCTTGTTTATTCTATAGCTCATGTATGTAGTGTTTTGAGAAGTAGTGTCTTACCATTCAGTTCAGGTGGGTAACCAAGAGGAGGTGCAATGGCCAGTTATTGTTTGAGGGTCTTTGGGATTCCTGGTCAACAGCTTCTAGAGAGGGAGTCCATTCCTGGCATTGAGGTTGTTTGTTTGTTTTTTCCTTAACCCAAGATGCCTGGAAAGGGCAGTGACTCCCTGCTATAGGGTAACTCCTTTTAATCTCTTTTTATAATGTATAAGTATGTCCTTTAAGATTCTTCTATAGTGGTAGGTTTCCATGTGGCTTTTTCTTATCCTTCCCCATATTCTCTCCTCTGCCTTGCTCTCCCATTCCTTTCCCCATTTAACCCTTCCTAGTCTAATGTTCCCCTTTGCCCTTCATATCACCGCATTCTACTACCCCTCCCAGAAAACCCTCCAACCAATGGCCATGTATTAGTTTCTTGATCTCTCTGGATTTTCAGATTGAAGTATGCATACCTAAGATTTCAAAGCTAGCATCCATTTATGAGAATGAGCATGTGATGTTTGACATTCTGAGTCTTGCTCGGGATATTTCCAGTTTCATCCTGTGAATTTTATAATTTCATCTTTTTTAAGATGGACATCCCATTTTTTCTAATTTCTGGCTGTTATGCAAAGGGCAGTAGTGAACATGGATGAACAGGTATTTCATAGTAGGTGATAGAGTCTTTTGGGTATATGGCCAAGAGTGGTGTGGCTAGATCATACCATAGATTAGTTTTGAGCTTTTTGAGAAATCTCCACACTGATTTCCACAGTGGTTCTACCCATTTGCAGTCCCACCAGCAGTAGATAAGTTTCCTTTCTTCAGCATGTCATTTGTATTTTGAATTTTAGCCATTCTAAGTGAGGTATTTTTCTTTTTTTTTTCCTCTCTTCTTTTTAAGATTGACTTTTAATCAGGTTTGGTGGCATATGCCTGTTGTCCTAGCACTTGGGAAGCAGAGGCAGGTAGATTTCTGTGGGTTCAGGGCTAATATAGTGAGACCCTGTCTTTAAAGAAAAGACTTTTATGCTGGGCATGGTGGTGCCTGCCTTTAATCCCAGCACTTGGGAGGGAACAACTGGCCTGGAACCTGCAATGTAGACCAGGGTGGCCTCAGTCTCACAGAGATCCACCTGCCTTTGTCTCCTGAGAGCCTGGATTAAAGGCATGCACCACCACACCTGCTTGAGGCTATTAACTTTTGAAGCTTATCTCCAGTAACATACTTCCTCCAGCAAGGCTGCACCTCCTAAACATCCTCAAACATTGCCACCAACTGGGGACCTAGTATTCAAATACTTGAGCCTATGGGGGACATTTCCCATTCAAACCACCACACTGAGTTATAAGAAAGTGGAAGTTAGTCAGCCCTGTAGGTTGATTCAGAACACAGCCAGTGGTATTTCTCATAGTTAAATCAAGAAGCCATCAGAGAAATGAGTTTCCCAGGTGGTATAATTACAAATAATATGAATATTTTTTATGATAGTAAGATTCACGATTATATTATGATCATGATATAGCCTCTCCTAATGACTCTGATAATTCATTCCCTTTTCAAATTATATAGATTTTTTTTTTTCAAAGACTTAAAAAATCCTGGCATTTCTTGGAGGTTTTTCCTCATTATAGTTTTTATGTGCTACTTTTTGAGTTGAGGGCTCAACCAGTTTCCCATAAATTTTGTGTTCAAATTTTGATTATGCAAACTACCCTTGTAGGTAAACATTTGAGGTTATGCAATACTTATCCTTGTTTAAAACTTTCATAGCTGTGATGTTTTAAGCTTAGAGGAGGAGGAGGAGGAGGAGGAGGAGGAGGAGGAGTAGTAGTAGGTCAGCTGCCCTCTGGCCTTGATGTTGGCCTGGTCTAATATAGCTACCTCAGGGGTATGAGGCCATGGAAAACATGTTTTTGTTGTTAAGTGTTCTTGCTTTCTAGTAACTTTATTTTCTGCTCAAGGGATTTAGTATCTGTTCAGATACTTTCTTTTTAAAGGCCACATAAATAATGACTTGACCTCTAAACTTAGCTTTGAAATTTTCCCAGACATTAATAAAGCTGATGTCTAACAGTGTATTATTTGAGAAAACTACACATTGGCCAGGAATCAGTGATATTTAAAATCATGTATTTTACCTTGAAAATTACTTCCATGCCTAAATGAGTTTCATAGCAAAATTGTGCATGTAAATGACATAAATTGGCAACTCTTGGGCCTTGTCTTGTACTGCTGTTCACATGGTGTCACTGAGACCTAGTGCAGTTCAAAAACAACTCTTCTCAAATAATAGTATGACTTAGTTCTGAGAAAAAAAATCTCATCGTTCCATAATCTTTCCTAAAATAACACCTGTCTCTTGGACTCAGTAAGAACATTTAGACAGGAAGGGTTCTATAGTGAAACACCTAGAATTAATTGTTGAGTGTGAGCAATCTTTCCAGGACATAATATGAGATTTTTACAAAGGATCAACTTATCCTTGAAGACTGAGAACATCAGTTAAGGTATCTATCTGGGTTAGCCACCTCATGGGTGAGATTTAACAATTAGTGGCAAGAAAAGGAGTTGATTGGATTATATTGTGTGTGGGAAAGTGTAATGAGATGATGGAGGAGGAGGAGAAGAAATAGTAGTTGTTTCTTCTCAGGGTTAGGTCATAGCTCGTTGCCCTTTGAGTCTCTTTTTTATTTGTTCAGTAGTTATGGTAACAGATTTTCTTGGTGAGAATCCACCTAGGCACAGTTCTTAAAGTATTTTATTTTTGAGACAGGGTCTCCCTGTAGCCCCAGCTGGCCTGGAATTTGCTATATAGACCAGACTGGCCTTCATCTCACAGAGACCTGCCTGCCTTGCCTCTTGAATGCTGGGAGTAAAGGTGTGTGCCACCATGCCCGGGTCACAGATTTTTTATTTTTGGTTTTTGTTTTGAAGATGTCAGAGAAAATTGCATATTGCTATTTTGAGATGTTTTCTTGTTTGGCTTTTTTTTTTTTTTTTTTAAAAGATAACATTCAGTTCTTTAGAACTACTGAATTCTTAAGTGGGAAGAGGTTAAATAGTCTGCTTTAATTAATTGTAATCATTACTTGAAATCTATTTTAGTCTAATTAAACAATCCTGACAGAGGTTTGAGTAAATGGGTTTTTTTCCTTAGTTTTAGTGTAAGGGAAATACTTCAGCTCACTTATTTGAAGCAATAAAATAGTTTGTTCTTCCTTTCCCTGCAGCAAGAATTATGAACTTAAAGCCACAAAACAGATTCAGTGTTAATGTTTAAAGCTTCCCCATATTTGGACCCTCATCAGTGGTAAATAATGTGCCTGTCTATGAAACGGAAAAAAGTCGAAATTTTCCACTTGCATTTTGAGCTTTTCAGAGTTATTATACACTCTGGAAATAATAATAAAAGATACTAGGGCTTATACAGTGCTTTTTGTGTGATGAACTCATAAACACTAATGCATTGATCTTAACACAGTACTTGATTGTGACTTTAAAAGGTCATGAGTTGCTGCTGTTACAGAAAAAAAAAAAGATGGATGCTCCAGTTTACATATACTATTTTTACAAGTCTACATAAAAGTTAAATTATATAACTGAAAATAAAGGTATAGGGGATTTTTGTTGCTTTTATGTTGAGTTTAAAAAGACTAGTAGACTTTTATGCTTTTATTATTATTTTTTTAATGTGTAAATCTTTTTTTTTTTTTTTTTTTTTTTTTTGAGACAGGGTCTCCCTGTATCCCCAGCTGGCCTGGAACTCACTGTGAAGGTCAGGCTGGCCTTGAACTCAGAGAAATCTGCCTGCCTCTGCCTCCTGAGTGCTGTGATTGAAGGCATGCACCACCACGCTTGGCTCTATGTGGAAATGTTTTTGAAGCCAGATTATCTTCTTAAATAAAAAAACCAGAATGTACTTTTAAGCTTTTGTTTCTTCTTGGTCACGAAAGCTTAAAAACCTGTTATGGTTTCTAAAGTTTGCTTAACAATATATTTGTCCTGAATTGAGAGATCATTCTTCTCATTGTCTTGGTTTATTTAATATTTGTGGTATGTAACTTTAGATATTAATGAACACAGTGGTTATGTGGCTTAATTTTTAACTTTTTTATGTCTTACAGGTTTATTCTACAATCCAAGGAAGTAATTCACAATCAGCTCTTAGAGAAACAGAAAATAGCAGAAGAAAAAATTAAAGAACTAGAGGTAGGTTCCACAGTACAGTCAACTTTAAGAAAAACTACTGATCCCATTGTGTCTTATTAAATGAAAATGTATGCCTGACAGAGTTCAGATCATATTTTCATTTTCTCTGATTTGTTCTAATTGTGTTAGAACCATGAAACAGACATATTCATTGTAATGTATAAAAACAAAACAGGTGCTCTCTCTCTTTTTAAATTGTGATCAATTTTTGAAAATTAAGGTATTGTTAATCTCTATATTAGTTACTTTCTGTTGCTGTGATAAACTTCCATGACCAAGGCAACTTATAGAAGGAAGGATTTATTGGACTTATGGTTCCAGAAGGATAAGAGTCTATCATTGTGGGGGAAGCAAGGTAACAGAGGCAGCAGGAACGGAACTTTGAGATCGCACATCTTCATTCAGGCACAGGAAGCAGTGAGTCAAACTGGAAGTGGACAAGGCTAAAGCCCTCCCCCAGTGACATGTTTCCTTCAGTTAGGCTATACCTCCTAGGGATTCCATGACCTTCCCCAAACAGCACCACCAACTGAACAAGTGTTCAGGTACTTGGAGCCTGAGGGGGACAGGTACCTCATTGAAACCACTATAATCTGGATGTATTTTCTCCATTGCCCTTTAAAAGAAACATTTATTTATATATTTTCCAAAGCCATAAGCAAAGATCAATGAATATTTAAATAGTAGATTGTGGCAGATGGGCAGCAGAATGGCCAATAGTAAGAGGATCTTAGTACAGTGTCTCCTTTATAGGTTTTATATGTAATTC